AAATACAGGTAAAAACGTTCAGTAAGATGAGTAAAATAGGTACATTTTATATATAATACATAAATATACTTCTGTTAAAAAATATTAAAATGGAACTTTTCCAAACCTTTTTGGTGCTATTTAACTATTTCCACTTTTGTTGAAGACGACCCAAGCTTTGGAAAACGATCTTTCTGCTAAGGCAGCAGTTCCATAATTTTTCTGTTTCCGGTGCCGTTAATATATCAGAATTTTTCCACGGCGCCCAAGCCTAACTAAAACATATTGGTCTCTCTCAAGGGGTCTTTGTGGTAATAGTAGTTTTTCTTCATTTTCTATTCAGAAAAGCATTAATATATCTACACATCTGCACTCTTACGTTGTCTACAATATTAATTTATAAATATCAAAACTCATTGGTTTTAATTTTCCCGACATTTTTTATTTTTCGGGCCCACAGTTAAGGAATCACTGTGCCAAGGACCATGTAATAATCAAATATTGCTTTGCTTTTTCATTCTTAATCTTGCAGCATTACATTTTACAGGGGACGGTTTTTTGTGGAGAAGCAGAGCCATGAAGGAGACAACTCATCTCTCCTGATAAATTTTGTCCTTTTGACGGTGATTCCAAAATTCATGTGGATGCTCCTCCAATTTTGAGGGCGAAGCGCTCACATCGAAGCTTTTGCTGGTCTCTCACTTATGCAAAAGAATATATTTTTATTGTTTTTTTATATTGATACTTCGCCAAAAGCAGGGCGTACTGTTTGAAACAAAAATATTCTTTCTTCGACATCATTTCGCGGTGTATCACATTTTACGGTTGTCAAGTGTGGGGGGTGTGAAAACAACAATGTCTAGACACGGTATTAAATACAGAACCCTTTTATTTCCCCATCTATTTTTTCACTCGGAGGCGGGACTTCGTACCTTAATCATTTACTTTGTCAAATTGCAGCTGAATCACTTACTGAATGTACAAAGCATTCCCAATAAATGACACCCAAATATCTTTCTAAATGATACTCGCAAACGAAACATGCCCTGGGTTAATGACCTTTTGTTTGTGTTGTGACTACCATAGATCTTTCACGAAAATCCTATCACAATAATGCTAATAGATCCACAATACATAATTTCATGAATACTTATTTTGGAGATAAAGAATAATATACTTATATGATCCCAAGTTATGTTTGGCTATAGCTTAATGGCAAAAAAACTTCCGACTCGAGTCGATCATTAATATTATGCAGGAGTCATTCTTCGCACATAAACGATACGCCATGGCGCTTGGATAATCGAAAATATATTTTTGTGCAATAGAAATGAGAAAGAAAATGTACCCCACTTCTTGCCCAGTTTCTATATTTCATTTCTATTTCCTTAATCATGTACGTATCTATTAGGAAATTTGACGATGGGTTTAATTGAATATATGTATTTTCTTTATGCTCCAGTTATAGCCGTTTTTCAATGATAGACATTTAAATAAAAATAGTTTGATTGAATATAAAAAATATTTTTTGGATTGTACAAATTCACTTTTTTCCACATCCTACATTATTTGTTAAATTTAAACAATGTTTGTAAATCCCAGGCCCTGAAGAGGATCTCAATAAAGATCGAAACGTTGGCACGATAAAGAAAATGTTTTTCTGAAACCTACATCACACCAAACCGCATCTCACGATTTCTGAATAATGATAGACATTTATTTGTTAAAAAATATTGACTCGAACTTGATATTTTGTTGTGGCTATTTCTCAACCATCTGATGGCGGTTTTTTTTTGTCTGGAAGAGTGAACTTTCACCCATTCGAACAAGTGAGCCGAGAGAAAACCTAAAACGACGTATCATCAGAAGTATATTAGCATATCAGTGAAATATATCCATATAAAGAAAGAGGGCGATGACATCTGTCCCCGACCGTCGTCAACTTTCACCGGAATCGACAAAACGAGTCGCAATCAACACTAGTTATAGCGAAGCCCTTTTTCCATATATGGATTCGAAAAGTGCGTATACAGTGTAATAAATAATTGTGCAAGAATCTGAGTGGAATATTTTTACCTCAAATTATATTGGGGTTTTTAATCATATTTCTTTTGGCAGGGTCTCAAACCGTTGGTCTCATTTCAGGGCACTTATACACTAGAAACTACTTTGGCGAAAAGTGAGAGAGAATAAAAAGGGGCTGTCTCTCGACTCCTTTGCGGCTGGTAGTAGAGTGAAATATGCGAACATCACGGGATTAATCGAAATGTAGGGACGCAACCTACACATGCCTCTCCCAAGCAAATTGATATTACGAGTCGTGGAAAATATCTCTCGAGTGTAATAAATTACGTTTAAGTTGAAGCGAGAAATAAAGAAAAATTAAACTCCTGCTTCTTCATTATCGTATTCGATGAACGTCGGAGCTGTAAGCTAAATGTGTACGTGCTTATAATTTTAAGATGTGGCAGGAAGGGAAGCGCCAATGTGAGACCGAACGTTCCACATGCGATCGGAATAAACCACGGATTCGCAGAATGCATTGCCCTTTCATTCCGAAACGAATAATTGATCTGCATTTATCTTATATATTCTCGTTTAATTAGCATCAGCCTCTATAGTGACAAAGGTATGATGTTTGTCTGCCAGGGGTGGGCATGAGATCAATATGAACAACATTCCGGTTCCCTCCCCCTATAAAATATAGCTTTATAATATTTTGATAGGAATCATGAGGTTATTTTCTATAGGTGATTATTATCGAAGAAAGATGAGAAATGACTACATAAATGTGAATAATAATAAATTATCTTCACTGCACAATTTTTAAAAGAAAGGAGATGTTTTTATCGATTTTCCTTTCCTAGAGTTCATAGTTATCGATAATTGACCAATTTTATAATAATAGGTAGAGAAAGCTTTCATCCTTCAACTTTTAAGCTTTCCAACATATCGTTATGGAATAGTTTTCTTAAATTTCTTTTCTAATTTGGCCAGAATTGTTACGTGATAACGTTGTAATCTATGTATGCTTCATGCTTTCTTATGCGTTGGGACATTAATACTACAGAATCAAATCTGGCCTGAAAGTAGACAGTTACTGACAATGAGTAATAGACTAAAAATCTGAGCCGATAGCTTCTGACAGGTCTAAGAACTACTGTACATTATATTTTTGTGCTTCCTTATAAGGGTCCTTAATAAAATAGAAGCCGTTCGAATCTAGGCCCGTGGAAGTAGACAGTGGGCCTATGACTGAGTAATAAAATAAAACTGGACATTCCTGGTAGGTTTAATAATCATTTTTCTTTCCAGACGTCTTTTATGTTTTCTTCTCCTTTGGGACTATGTTAGTTCTGGCGCTGTTCAAATCTGGAGAACTAAACCGTTCTACGATTAGGCATCAGATTTTTATGCTTTCATTCATACTATTGTGTTTATTTTAATTGAATTTATTCAGATTTGTTTTCTTTTTTAGGACTGTTGATCGTACGGTTGTGTATGCTTATTTGGTTCGAAGATAATTAGTAAATACGAAATATCTGCGTTATGATATTAATTTAACAAATATTTAATGAATTTTTTGAAAATATTGTTCGTCCTTTTTTATTGGCTATTTTTTTTTTAAATTTATTATTACTCTACAATCACATCAATTTATTGTGCAATAAGCAGTTAGATTGCATAAATGCTTCTTTATAGTACGTATATATACAGACTGGCATATGGTCTGACAGAAAAATAGATAGATACACTTACATACAGACAAATTGAGATCATACACAAGCAATTAATGCTTTCTGGTGATGATAGTTTTTATTCATACGTCTATATATCATCTTTGTTAAATTATTAATATACATCTGTATCAATTTATTGAATAAGCAGAACTGGAAAAAAATCATAAGTGGCGTGTTCAGCATGACGGTAACGCCACCCATCGATGGCCAACATTAGGCGGCAGTCTCTTGGACTGAATGTACATAAACTCCATGGAGCCCTTTAGGAGCATTGTTTGCGAGGCCAACGACGCCTTAACGTCCTAGGTGGAAGGTAGGTGGTAAGATTGGAAAAGACAGGGATGTGGGAGTTGGAAAAAAAAGTAATAATTTGGAGTGAAATTTAAGGAATAGGAATTTAGGTAGGTCGGTAACATAAGGGAATTCGGGAGGTCTGACTAAGAGTATGGTTACAAACAAAGGAGCATCGGTGATTGTCTTAGTGGATTCAATAGAACCTGGAAGAGCTGTGGAAAGAATTTTTTGTGTGAAATTTTGAACGTATGTCTAGAAGTTTTTTTATATTTTATCTGTAGTTCAAGTGGTGTTCATGTTGAAGTAGTGTCTTCTTAGGTCAAACTCACGTTCTTCCTTTTTCCACTAGCAAACGATATATAGTTGAAGTAATGTACTAAAGAATTGTCCAAAATGTTTAAAAAATACTTTATATATGACTTGCTGACTTTTTGCGTGTTTTATATGATACCTGATGTATATTAAGCGTACTTCGTCAATATGTCAAGGCAAATATTTGATTTATAATTTATTATTTGTTTCCAATCAGTCTTATATTTGAGTAATGAACTAGTTTATCGTATTTGTGGTTTGTTACAGAAGTGAAAATCTGCCCGAGGAAGTGAAATGGAAAATTGCACCACATTGTGTTTTAATTGTGCAATCCGATTAGCGGAAGTGCAACTCAAGCAGATTCGGCTGGTTCATTTTCAGCGAATATTTATTGATCTTTTTTGTTGTTATTTGTAAACCTTGAATTTTAAAAAAGGAAAAATCGCGCAAATAAGGGCTAGTGTATATCATAAATGTTCTTTCTAAGCGATTCAACGCATCTGACTCATTGTCGTTGGCGGTTATTTAAAATTAGAATGAAATTTTCGACTTCTTCATCAACATTTCGTGTCTAATTGATAAATTGATTTTTAATGTTACAATTTTAAGTTTAAACCTTACGTTAATAATAAAGGAAGTCTTGCAGTAAAAATAATTAGCAATTAACAATTTCAGGAGCAGCTGTGGTACTATGATGGGAGATGATGGCAGATCACAGGAACAGATCAGGCATCTGTCTCCTAACAGAAACAAGGTCAGTGCGCTTTTACTTTTCAAATTTCATTTAAGCACGCCGTCAATTAACTTCCAAGATACTATTTATATTGATTGATAAGAGAGTAATTATTTTTTCCGATCATTGAATAACTACAAATCAATTATGAACTATGGACATAGTTCCAACATCCCAGAACAATAATCCAACTTATCAAAATGCGGAAGTTAAATCAGCAGTCAGTATAGTATAATTGATTAGCAAGAAATGTTTGTGAATGAAGTTACCATCCTGTAGGTTGTTTAATGAAATTAAATTACATTTAATTATCCAAAACGTTAGGTTTAACATCGGTTTGACGTGAACTAAGTCATAGAAGCTTTTAAGTTATACTTTAGCTCAGAGTATATTCTTAACATTTTTTTTATTCAACAACTAGGGTCGTTAAAAGAAAACAAATCTGTGGCAGAGTCATAGTTACATAAATATTTATCCAAATGGATAAATGTATATTGAAATGTTTTTAAAAATTTAAGATTCTCTTTGATTTTTGCTCATACCTAGGCCTGCCTCAAAAGTTTTTGTATTGTAGTACGTTCCAAGACAAATATTAGTAGAACTGCTGAAAATATAGAAAATAATTGTTTAAATCCGAAATTAGATTGTTTTATTGATATCTTTGCAACTGGGAATATGAGGGGAGTTTGGTTTGTGTTAATTGACTACTTGGCTGCTTCATTTTCTTGCACTTTTTTTCAAATTGCTCATTTTCGACTGTTTTTCCTCAAGTTATACTTGGTACGAAGTACACCCTTTTACTTTGCAATGCGTATAATTGAAAGTAGCTGTAGTTTCTCCTGTTTTTTCCGACTTCAAGGACTGCTAGGTTTGAAATGTTAGCCATCCCGTCTAGATGATCAGCCCGGCGGTCACGAAGTCTGCCTTGTAAGGGATTGTACAAAAGGATCTGTTATCACCTGCAGTTATCAGGTTTTGAACCTGATGTGAGTTAACATGTGAGTTGACTCAGCCTGTCCGCTGATAACTCGGTTGTCGCCCTATGCCAACACACTTGGAACTCGTCCGACTGTTTCCATCATATTGAATCTGTAAATCTTATCTCATCGAAATATATCATTTCTTATTTAGACAGGCTCATTCAGGCTTTTCAAAACGGAAAATAGTTTCGGAGCAAAATCAGAAAAAAATCGCTATTGTTATATTTTATATTATTCAACATCTTAATTCATAAAGTTTATCTCAGAATAATCATTTCCTTTGTTTAAACATTAGTTGTTATCAACTTATCAGCATGAATCAACTTATCGTCGAAAATGTATTACTCAATTTTCCCTTACACAAATCATTCCAATCTTCCTTTCAAGCAAAACTCGATTCGACGCATTTCCTAGTTTGTAAAATATTTCTTTCCTTAATTAATTTTATCTCTGGTTCATTTTTTTTCATGTCGTATCTCCTTTTGACACTGCGGTTTATGTCATTAATATTATTGGCTGTCATATTTTCTTCCTTTATCACTCTATTCTAAGATAATAATAATTTCCTAGAGTACAACTTGTGTATAGCAACGAGGAAGTTAAAATGTTAACAATGTATAAATTATTTTTATCCACAGTGTTTCGTTATTCCACTTTTATTGGAGAATTATTCCTACTATTCATACAGTGTAGGAAAATACAACTTCCAATAACTTTTATTCCAATAAAATACAAAAATAAGAATTCAGATGATTGATTATTATTTTTTAACTATTCAGGAATATATATACAAACTATAATTAACCATTCAGTAACAAACAATTTTAAATTATGAATATCATGGAAGAAAAAGGAGATTCTTGAGTGGTTTTTTCAAATTTACAAACTTCCTTTAACCTTTTCTTCATCCTCAAGTTGCATATGGGACATTTATTTTCCATCTGTTGTACTATAAAGAACTTGATTAATATTAATTAATAACAATATATAACTATATATTGATAATAAACTGAATAACCTCACACCTGGAAATATGAAGCGCCTCACATTCGCCCCTAGTTGCCATCATGAACTCCAGCAATTTATTGAGACAGGAACAAACCAAAGAAAAATCTCGATCAGGGGTCAAAATGATATTTTTGAGTAACGAAGCCATAATTAAATAAAAGGCAATGAAATGACAGATAAAGAAGCTAAGAAGGCAATAAATAACGGAATCCCTTTATCTACCATACCAGATAGAACATTTTTACTTTCACCCAGCAACGGTTAAAATCACAATGGCAATTGGAATATGATAAAGTAGAGAAAAAAATTAACAAAAATTAAATTTAAAAAAGTAACTAAAATTAAATTAAATAATTAACAAAAAAACCAAGAATACGATGGAATAAGCCCTCAAGCAAATCGTGACGGGAGAAGAGAATATTCGTCTCAGGTTCAGACAGGAGAGAACTAGAACCAGTATGCTCAGTAACATCATCATCATTCATTTTCTCAATCTTTCGTTCTTACCCTAGAATATATTCAAGCATAGATCCTTTTTTCACATTGATAGCGTGATCTTATATTCGAAAAAAATTATGCTATGGTATAATTAGTGATCAGCCTACAACATTATAATTATATTGGGAATTATATCTGTATGTACGGTTGAGGATTTAAAATTCTTTTTTCTAACGAACTCCTTCAATAATATTGTAGAATTAACTAAAATTAGTTCTTTGGGTTGATTATTTTTTCTGGATATTGGATAACAGTGTCTGCTTTTTGATTTTCAACCATTTAATGGCCAACTAAAATAATTGTTATTGAGGAGTGTAAATAAACAATATTGTAAAATTCGCGTATAATTTTGATAGATATTATCTATTGAGGGATGAATATTTAGGTGTACTGTTTAACATAAATGGTAAGTTCAATAAAGTCGCTAATTATTTCATTAAACAAGGTAATAAAGTGCTTTAAAAAAGTAAAAGAAGTTCTTGTTAAGGGAGGGGCAGATTCTGTAAAAAAAACAATTAAACTTTTGGAATCCCTAGCTGCAGCCTCATCATTGTTTTGTTTTTCGGAAATCTGGGCAATCGCACACATTGAGAAGCTATTTTACTTACCATTCACTACCCCTAATGTGGGTTGAAATGAGATGGCAATGTGTGAGACTGAAGCGAATTATTTGGTGGTGGAAAAAGGTCCTGTCATTGCGAAAAAGTGTTAGCGAGAATGTACGATTTTAACGCACGGTATTTAAGAAAAACTAAGGTGCTCAAAAAATACCAGATATTAGTTCTATCAACTGGACGATATTGTCCTTGTGATTGGTTATGATTTTCTCAGCTTAAACAACAAATCATATCGACCAAAAGATTGTGAAAACAATTGAGCGATGGAAAAACCATTTTTTGTCCGTTTTGACATTGAAAGAATTTTATATTCAAAATTGTCTTCCGGCAAGTTTGCTGTAATGGGGAAAAGAATTATGAAAACAACAATATAGACCTAAACAGCCAGAGAGTACTCAATGGAATTGAGGTTTTTCAAACATGATGGAACGAGTTTTTTTAAAGTTAAAAGCAGCTGTACAATAAATTTACTGTTTTATGTAGTGTATGCAATTTGTATGAGCAGGCAAACCTTATACATATTTTTGTAGCAAGTCAAATTTACAATCAATTAATACCTCACCCATTACCTAAAAGATTCGATATCTCCAGAACACCAGTTGATCGGTTTATTAACATGTTCTACATAGTTATATACAAATTAGTGATGTGTGTCACTTTTGAAATAGACACTGAAATTGAGGTACTACATCGTTAAGGAGTAAATGCAAATTATTGTAAAACACTTACCTAGGTATACATTTTTTATTTTATTATTAAATTATTATATTAGCACTCCCAAAACACAAATATTCTATTTACAAAAGTATGTTTGATTTTAGTTTCATTTTATACAGAATGAATCTACATTTAGTTAATCATTTTAAACAGTAGTTCCGGTATTTATTTAGTTGTGGAGTGTTTAGTCAAAGTGCCAAGCGTATCCAATAATTGGTTTATTTGTAATTCATGACTTACATTTTTGCAGCATAAAGAGTATAATATTATTTCTATATGTGAATCTTTTAGTTTCTTTATAACATGATAATTTTATTGTTTATTTTAATTCGATTTCATTTGTGATTATTGAATGCTTTTTGAAAGATTATGTAGGTCTAACCAACCCCCTGTAAATTATAACATTGTGAAAAAACTTACAGTAAATAAAAATTTAAACTAATCTCAACTAAATTGAGGGACGAACAGGATTGCAAAAAAAGAAAAAAAAAAGAGAGATCCCAAGTCATAGAATACTACTGACATCAGAAATCTCAGACGGCTTATGCTGGAGGTATATTGAAACGTTGTGTTGCCTCGCCAACCACCAGCTACCATTTGAATTCGATCCCGACAGGAAACCAACCCTTTAAAACGTCCTAGGGAGGGAACGCGTCACATTTAATAGGATCAATCCCTCGTACTGACGAGGGAACAGCACACTCCCCCTCGATGTGATGTAATTATCACGATGACGTCAGGGGGCAATGACCAACGAAGGGGTGCATCGGGGGTTGCTAGGCGGTTACGAAACGTGCCAAGCCTCGTTCATACAGGTGTATGCTGAACACGGAACTCCGTGGCAGGGACTGGTGTACAAATCGATTCCAGATCCCTGAGTACGACAAATACACGTTTCTTGCGTGTCTTCCATGGAAACGCGATCTTAGGTCAAACAATATGTTAGCCTCAATTCAACTCCTGTGCACATATAACTACTGGGAAATGACAGATTTTAATAGTGGTATTACGTACATTATTGTAAAAAAAACTAGCATGATTAATTACATTTGTACAAAAAAATTTTGTACTGTAAAAAGAAATACAGAGGCTCTAAGGAGTCCACGAAAAATGTACCCAACGGCAAATAAGAGCAGTTAAGCCGAAGATAAACGCTCAATGGGCGTGAATAATAAAATGTTGAAGGGAAAAAACCATGAGC